TATTTGCAGCTTGTCCAAGAATCTTCGTTCCAATCATTTTGTTTTCCTCCACCTGCAGTAACGTGTTCAAACCTCCATTCTCCCTTTCTTCTGCTTTATTATGGACATTTTCAACTGAACATTTACAGTTATTTCAGGGATTTCCTATGTTTCGTTCGGCACATGCACGAACTATGGGGGTTTGGAAGGTTTGGAGGAATTAAAAAACACTTTCTTAAATTTTTGTCGTGCCTATCTTTCGTTTACTTATTGTTAGTTCTTTCAGTTCCAGGTCGGTTGTTTACGGGGTTGTGTAATCAAAAAAATTCAATACTATACTAGCTATGTGGGACTTCAGCTACCGATAGAACGTAGGCTTGAACTTGCATTATATATATGGTGTAGTTCTGAACCAGTTTCATCGAAATTGTACATATTTTATTTTTTAATTAATTTTGTCATAATTGCTTTTATCCATTTCTGACATTTGAAATGTTTTAAAACGTTTTTAATTCTATAATGCGAACGTTCGAATTCGATTTGATTCCCGCGGAAAATTTCCAGACGACGAAATCGAGCGTGAAAAGGGTCTCTGTCTCTTCCCCCACCCGTCGACTTAAATACCCGGAAGTTCGATGACGAAAATCTACTTCATCCGTCATTTTTTAAAGCCGTCCGAATAAACGTCCCGGACGGATCTTGCAAATTTCTCACTGGAAAGCTACGGTGGGCGGCGGTAGGGCATCGAAGTCGGGATTAGGCGGCAATCCAAAGTTGTATTTTGAGAATGCGCCGAGGCAATTTAATTTAAAAATTTCCCTCCGCTGTTAAATTAGCGTCTTTCCATCTACGTCACGCGTCTGATTAAGACGGGCGTCGTAATAATTTCGCGGATCTTGGCGAAAATTTCGAGACAGTGATTGAATTTTTGAATAAATAGGGTTCGTCTGACGCGACGACGCGTCGCAGAGACGAAAGGGGAAAGGGCGGCGTTGTCAATTTGCATGAAATATCAGGCGTTTTAGTGCCTAGTGGATGCAATTCGATTCAAGATGAAATTATATCTCGGGCATAATTTATGCGCCGATGAAATAGCTCTTTCGGAGATTGCCTCGCAGATAACGGAGGTGAATATTAGTCGATAACGAGGACGTGAAGGTATCGCTCATTATTATTTTTTTACCGAACGTTATTAGAAAATGGAATTACTAAAGAAGGGGGCCGCGTGTTCAGAAAATCGGCATAGAGAAGGAAAATTACGTTGCGTTTAACGTAGCATTGCCATGCGTCCTTGTACCAATGGCCTGGGAGCTGCAGTTAGACCTTCCATTATATCCGCACATCTTTGCCTCCTCACCTAGAAGATTCCTGTACTCGTGAAGAAGGAATTAAGGGCTCAATAAATTGTGCTCGTAGTAACATTTAACGCAGGGTGGGGGTCGTTATTCGATGGGCTACAGACTTTTATGAAAAATTCATTCTTAATATTTAAATACTTATTCCTCCACTTCCATCACTTTATTGGCGGCTATCCTAAAAACTGGTCTTGTCGACCATACCTTCTTTGTTCAACTATGTCTTATGATTTCTTTCAAGTCGGATCAAACCTTATGTTGATGCTTTTTGTACTTTTCTTGTTACTTTTGTGGAGTCAAAAAGAGGCACCGTGGGTAATGTAAAAGCTTAATTTTAACAACGAGGCTGACTGCTCCACATGGTCGCTACTTCATGAACAAATGTATTCGGAGGCCGCGTTACGCTGTTGCCGAGTTACACATTCAACTTAAACATAAATCCGGCTCGAAGGACCATAAATGTGTTGATGATTTCTGTACTTTTCTTGTTCCTTGCAAGGAGGCTGACTGCTCTACACGGCCGCTGCTTAATAACTAGCTTATGAATTATATATGCATTCGGAGGGCGCGCTACCCAGTTACACATGTTAACGAAACCTAAACAACTTCTATGGCGACTTTTATCTGACCGAAGTGCGCCATCTTATTTGTTTAGTTCATAATGTGGAGAGTAAACTCGAATCAATCTATTGCATAGTTTCGAGGTGAGCTTTCTACTGCACAGTACTCTTCTGCACACTTAGGAGGCTGAATTCACAAAATATTCACAAAATTTTGAGCTACCAGCACACAACAAATTGTTGTGCATAACTAAGTTCGGCAGCAGCAGCAGCATAAAAACTCTTTGGAAAAAATAAGATTTGTATTTATTGAATTTATAAAATATATTATGTAGGTTCTTGGTTGTTTTGAAGGATCTGCGCCAAAAAAAAAAATTGTAGATACAACTCATTTATTTGCTAAAATAATACCTTAAATTCAGTTGAAAATTTGACCTTAATCCAAAAAGATTATAAAATAAGAAATCATTACAATTTACGATATGATATTAGATAAAATTTAGATGTTAACTTGTTTGCAATGTAAAGCTCGAGTACCATTATAAATCAATGTACTGTATTTCAATAAAAATTTGCCTGTGTGGGCTACCCAAGTTAACAATAACCGTAACCATAACAACCATCCTGACAAACACTCCACTTACGAGTCGTTGGGCCCTTTTTTAATACAGAGTATTTTAAAAAGGTGTACATATCCAACAATAACAATAATAATACCAATACATAAATATTTGTATTTGTGTACTATACAGTTGTGAACAAAGTCACTAGTAAACCTGACTCAGGTAGACTTGTTTCAAATTGTGATAAATATTTTTCAAAACAATCCAAGTACCGAATACTCCTTGGAGATTTTTTTAACGGGAGTTTTTAAAAAGAAAGAATAAGCAAACAACCACTTTTGTTTAGTTCAAGTGGACGAGGCTGGTGCTGTCAGTTTTCGTAAAAACCGAGAGATTAAAGCAAATACCACCCCCGCTTATTTAGTGATGTTGAAAAATACGGCTACCGGAGATTAAAAAAACAGAGAAAAATAATTTATTCCAGGCTTTAAACTCGTTGGAATAAATCAAATTAAAACCCTTTATTAACCATTTCTTTCTTCCTATTTAACGGATCCAGTCATCCTTAATATTTATAAATTCCTAATAATTTTTCTCTTCGCCTATTTCTGAGAACAGCATGCGGGCGAATTGAAAATACTTTTACCGGTTCATAAGGAAATTGCGAAACCCAAACTTTGAAACTACTTACTTGAACTACTCGAGCTGTCTTGTGCAGCTCTGTTGAAAATAGTTTTGATTTTATTGCTACGCACGATGGAGCCATTTTGAAAGTACTCTTTAATCAATCATGCAAGTTTTGATTAAAGTTCCAAATGCAAAATAGTACTATTTTAGCGAATCCAATAGAAAATATTTAATATTTACGTTATCTGTATATAAAAATATTGGCATTTCAACCTCATTTTGTATAGGTATCGGAAATCCTGCCTCGAATCAAAACTTTTACAGGTAAAGCATTTTACCAGCTCTGTATCGCGAATTTTCATGCCCTTCGATTTGTCATTTCCCTAAGTGTTTTATGAATAGTAAGCAATTTCAATAATATCCGCATTCGTCTTTACCATTTTTCGCGTTCGCCGGTTTTCTGTACAATCTTATTGCCACTAGGGTAAACATTTTTCATTGGCGTGGTATTGACAATGGCACAAAACACATTTTTCATTTCGTTTGTGCTCCCTTTATGAGAACTCTGCTTTCTGGATATTACTTTTTTTACGAAAAATCGCAAAAAATCTACCTCGAGTGGAGGAACATTTGCGTTTATAATTTCAAAATTGAAAACTAGCGTCAGCTAAACCACACACAACTAACTTAGACTAACCAAAACTAAAAACACATTGAATTTTAATGGATCGTTCAAAAAACAAATCATACACAGACTCAGACAGAGATTAATGTTTAAAAAAATCTGTACATTAAGCTAAATAAAACTAATAGGAAAAAAACGAGCTTGCCGTGCTAATTTGGGAAAAAATCTTTGTTTTTTGAAGCAACACGTTAAGTGGGAAGAAATTTTAGGCGTTTTACCCTTCGCTCCGCGTTTCAATTTTTAGATAAAACATTCCTTTAGCCCTTGCTTCTAAACCTTTTCTTTATACGGATAAATAAGATAGATTATCAGTCCCTTTCGGAATATTGTTGCTCCAAGCAATCCCTCTCCCTCCCTCGAGAGGGAGTAATTGGGATTTAATATTACACAGTTCAAAAGCTTTTGAAGTAATCTTTTGTTAGCACGCCAAATCAAGATTGATGCGATTATTGCCAGCGGAGAGATATGAATCTCTTAGTATTGCGTTGTTCAGATGTTTATTAGATCAATATTCCAGAACACGTGGATAATCAACGCAACAACGGTTATTTGATATGTGATTAAAATCGTGCGACTGGTTGTAAAATCAACTGTTGGTCAAAATTATAATTAATACCGTTGTTAATTGGAATATGTTATTATTAACAAGCAAGTAAGATTCATATTTAACCAAATTGCTGATCTGATAATATACTAAAGGCCAATATTTAAGTATATAATTATGTTGATATTTTTCGACAAAAATTTGGGAAGTATAAAAAAAATGTTGAAAGTTTGCTTTATGGAGAATGGTTCGAAAAAGTTTAAAAACCATTGGAGATATTTGAGTCACATTTGGTAGCTCTGTAGGTATGCCAGGGGCCCCCATAACTACAATCAGGTATGGTAGAAGAAACATAACCAAAAATTGTTAATAGCGACAAAATCAATGACAATGGATCCCGCACTTGTTTCAGGTATGCACGTAATAAAGACTGCTTAGAATAAGTATATATCCATATTTTGTTTTCGAATTTTCTAATAAAAATGCATAATCTAAACATTATCTACAATTTGATATGTTTTGTAATTTTTCTTTATTATAGTCAAATAAAATATTTTCTCTGCAAAACCGCGAACTGGCAATATATTATAGCGCATTCCTTATTATTCCGAATGCGTTGAGACATGCTCATCCACGTTTGTTAAAAAAAAAGATAATATAAAATATAAATATGAAAATCGTACTTACATCAACGTTGATATACCTCACAAGGAATGCCCTGAACGGTGGTGACTCCTTCGGCACATAACGGTAAAATTCTTCACCATTCCGGTACCATTTGATGGAATACAGTGGAACCTGTTCGAGATCATAATTGCAAGTTAAAGTGACCGTGTCGCCAGATCTCGCCACCTCCGGCACTTTTATGACCATTGATTTTAGAGATGACGTTCCTGAAAGGGAAATAATAAATGTATTGTGGCGCGTATTTTGCGCTATTATTTTTAAGTCGCTTTGAACGGGAAAGTATTGCGGCTCGGAAAATGATTACTTTCTTTGTTTACCCATCACATCGGGTGGGAATTTTTCTCGAATTAAAATCTGTTTACCAATCGTTACTAAATAGCGGTATTATTCTGCCAACATTTGCGGAAATTTTTAATTGGGCTAATATTCTTAAACAGCTTATACCTATTTTAATTGGTGTGATACCGGCGGATTGTTGAGAGAATTCGTTAATTTTTTCGGTTATGCACCTATTTAATGAGGTGGTCTGCTGTATAATATCCAATTGAATAAAATAACTGTATTTCTTCGTTATGTCGTTTTATCAAGTTTGAAAAGTTCTTTCTTCTTTAGTTCTTCTATTATAAGTAATACGTAATTACAACATGAATCGATATTCTATAGTTTAATAATATAAAAATTAAAGTCACGGTGTACTTTTCTACCTATACTGTATTTTCATATTAAGTACATACGACTTACGTAATACGTAACCATAACGCAATGTACTGGGCTAATATAAACTGCAACTTAACAAAACTAAATTTCTTTTCAGTCCTAAGTTGTGTCTAAAAGTATTATCATGTATTTAGCCTATATTGTTGTATTTTCTATCATCTATCATCTATCATAGTTCTTATGCTACGCCAAGAAAAATATATGATGTATCAATCTACTGCCGATAGTTAATCAATTCGCCGTTTTGTATGACTAGAAGAATTCTAAAGCAACTGTTCGCATTACATATAATAGTAAGCTGGTAACCGATATACCAAGAGATAGCATAGCATATTATTAAGCACGAAATTTGCAATTTTGGTCTAGGGAAAAATATATTTTTCCACTCCCGTCTGCAAAATAAAAATTACACATCGATCTAGCGTGCGGGAAGCGTCACTTTTCCACGTCCGTTTCGTTTCTCACGAATTCGAGCCCCTTCGGACATTTCCAGGATTTTACCCCACGGCTTGAATTTTGCCGTTTGTCAATTCTGTTACGTCAGGTCAGTCAGCCAAATATTTTAATCTGCAAGATAATGCGCCACTTCTGTAGGGTTAAGTCACTCTTTTATTCAAACTCGTGAGTCAAATGCCATTTACCGCACCTGTTGCATAATATACTATTCTCAACTCCCTTCTGCAAAATACCTAATTATACACCGACTTAGCGTGCGGAAAGCGTGACTTTACCATGTGACTTAAAAAGTTTACCAAACGTGTTACATTTTTCATGTAGCTTATAACACGTAGTATTTAAATTGTCTGATACATTGCATTACATGTTTCTGTGTATTAGTTTTTGGGTACATTTTTGCAAACACGAATACATTCACTGACATGACCGTCAGAATTGACAAACGTCAAAATTCATTTCCGAAAATATAGGAACCCAAACCCCTGTGGTAATATCCCAAAAATGTCCTTATCGGATCCGTGGGGAACAAAACTGACCGCGTAAAATGACAGTTTCCGCACGCTAGGTCGATGTGTAATTGTATATTTTAAAATCAGTTTTCATTGTACATTAAATTTATTGATTTGTTTAAAAAACATAATGGCGAACTCATTCAAACTTTAAAACTAGCTAGAATCTATTTCGAGTCGCACTGTATATGTTTATAATATTGTTATTTTACGAAAGCTTGGACATTTGTGGACAGAACTAGAGGTGCCTGTCGTAACATACCGACTCCTATTTTCTTAAGATATTTTGCAAGATCAAGCGAGCGAATGTCTGTTTTAATCCAGGTTGTGATCCAAAGATGCCGGGATGTCAACCACAACGTATTTCTCTGAGCGCTTAATTTTGTGAACGCTTTTGACAAAGGGAAGTATGAAAAAATGGTATAGATACTAACACGATCAAGGATAGATGACAAGGATGTGTGAATTGAAAATAGCCAAGACAATAAAAGTACGAACTCCTTCATTTGATCATGCAGGGAAACATTGCCACCAGAAGTCGTTCAGGACAAAAAAGAAATTCTTGGCTAAAGCACCTGCGAGAATTATTCCGGGCAGCAGTTACTAAGGCAATAACAGTAAATATGATCGCGAACATGATAGCCAACTATCGACAACGGTCGTGGCACCGCAAGAAGAAGAAGGATGGCAAATGTCGCCTGTCTTATCGTTGGCCGTTGCTAATCAGAGTCGTCGTTTGAAATATGTAACTTTTGAAGATAATAGGGTGCAACACTATTGATAAAAAGATTTTTTTCACGTCAGTATACTTAACAGTTAATAATGAAGTCTTGTTACGGTCGATTTAAAACATGTTCTGAAATTAACTTACTTAACGGTACGTCGCGCAAAATAAACTTTAAACACTTGCTTAAATAATAATATGGGCGCAAAAATGTCCAACAATGACTTGTTCCCTTTGAGTTCGCATTCATACAAGCTCACATTGGTCAAAAGTTTTCGTGTTCCTCCATTTGCAGAACAGTTTGCCCAGTGACCGCTAAATGCGGCGTGTAGCACAAAGTTCTGCTTTACAAGCAACTTGTTTCCCTCTACGTACACAACACTGAATCGGTTAAAACGGTCAATTAAATTTGCTGACCCGCATTTTATGCTGCGCGCAACTAGACGCGGACTCGTTTAATAATAATACGTACAGATGAATGAACCAATTCGAACAAAAAAATGCGCACAGAATTTGTGCGCGGACGAAGTAGGCGACGCCGTCGCTCCGCAGCGTTGCGATTTGTTGAAATGACATTTCCGGATTCATTAAATCGGCGGCCAACCGAAACCATTTATTTATTCACAACCTTTCAGCGCGTTTCGGCGACGCAATTTCCAATGCCAGTCACTGCTAATATGTGGGTGATTATAATCGACAGCTCGAATTGAACTAATAAACTATCATTTGTTTATTCGTTTTGAGATAAATTCAACAAATTTCAACCGCTTGTCACGCTCAAATAACTAAATGGCGCTGGGCGTTTATCGCATTTAATCGATCGGTGCGTACAACTTTTAAAATAGTAAACGACTGGTCTTAACCGGTGTTAATGGCAGTCAGAAAAGTAATAAAATATTGTTGTTATTATAATTGTTAAAAGTGATCGACAAAATGTTTGCCGCTGCAGAACGTGGCGAATTTAACTAACTTGGTTCTCTTAGACTATAGTAAAGCCTTTGATAAACTCGATCACACTCTTTAAATTGGGTTATGGGTTAACTTTGGGTTATCTTCGTTTTCACAAGAGCGCCTTATCACTTCTTAATAACTATTTAACTGGGAGGCGGCAGGTGGTTTACTTAAACAGTCGCACTTCATCTCCGACACCTATAACTTGCGATGTTCAACAGGGTTCTATGTTCGGGCCTGTACTCTTCTGTCTACATACGTCTCAGCTAATAGGGCACTTGCGTCATTGCTTTGCTAATTTATATTCTGACAACACTCTGTATATCTCGAAAATATCGCAGACGCAAATGATAAGATTAATTCTGATTTAAGAATTTAAGTACTCTTTGGACAAAGTCAGTCAAGAAATTTATACTCCAAACATGTTAAAGTTTATCTGAAAGACCCTTTACTAAAACTCACTGAAAACGCAAGAAAGGTTTTCGGGACACCTAATATGAGACAATTAACAGATGACAGATTTAAAAAAGCTATCAGACCAATTATTCAGCATTTTCTAAAGTTTATCTGAAAGACCCTTTACTAAAGCTCACTGATAACGCAAGAAAGGTTTTCGGGACACCTAATATTAGACGATTAACAGATGACAAATTTAAAAAAGCTATCAGACCAATTATTCAGCATTTTCTAAGTTGATGCTCGCTCCGTCGTTCTGCCCTTTTACTTAGCTCTTTGTACTTTATCCTTCTTCTATGCTTCTGTTTTGATTAGCTGTTTGGTCCTTACCTGAAGCCAGTAAGGTAAGGTAAGGTATTGCAATGCAGAGATTCCTTAAATAGCCTGAGCTGAGATTTTTTCGGAAAAGCCCGACCTATTTGCTTGAGACTAGTTCGTTTGAATTATATTACACCAATTGTAATTATAAATCCAGTTTAAAACTATAAAGTCTGATCAACGAAGTTTTTCAAATAGCAGGGTTAACAAATTGGACCAAAATATATAACGAAAATTTATATCACCATTAGATGGCCTCAAAGTATTTGAATGTTTTTTTTTTTTAATTCTTAGCAATCGTTTTTAGTTAAATTTAAGATCTTTATAAGCAATTGTTTCTTGAGCAGACCATGAAAGACATCTTTACATATTTACTTCCTTATTTCCTAAGGAAAAGCGAAATTACTTCTTTTGAGTAATTTAAGACAAAAGTTGCCAAGAAGATATATTTTTTTCACGGACATTTAAGCTTTAGGTCTACTAGTATTTAAACATTTTAATACAATAGTAATAGTAATATAGAATGGTAATAGAATTTCGTTTTTTTTTAATTCTTCTGTTATATTAATAGGGAATTTTGATTTCTAAATACGTATTTCAAATGTATATTTTTCCATAATCGCACACGGCTGGAGTCCCATAAGTGTTCCCCAGTCCCAGTTAAAAGTACGAAAATTTTAAGGCTTAATGCATCTTTTTAACCATTTTTAAGGTGAAATGAGACGATACAAAATACAAGAGAGACAGTTATAAAATAAAAAAAATCGAATACAAATTTTAAAACAAAATACATCAATATATAATTTATAATTAGAAGTTTTCCTAAATGCTGCTTTATCGTATTTTTAATTTAGAGTGACTACTAAATTCAGTTTAAATCATAATTAAGGAAATTATATTGCGATTGTCCAAACATTTTGTCGTTTATTTTTTCACCCATTAAGTATGACCATTTCGAAGAGTTTCACAATAGAATTGATTGACAATTTTATGGCTGCCTAACTAAATATGCCAAATAATCCAATTTTTACAGATACTCGATTTTATTTCGGAATCATTAATATTGAAGTATATC